AACAAAATTACAGAGCAAGAAAAAAAAACAAGATCGAACGTTTCTCCCATCTTTTATCATTAAACCGTCATTGAACTCAAGCCATACGACCCTTTTCTAGTCTAATGTCCAACCCTTATACACAGCCATTCTCATTGAAAAATTCGATGGAAAGAAAAAGAAGGCAAAAAGAAGGCAAGTTAAATAAAGGCTTCTACGCCGTCATCGTTCTTTACCGGTCGATTTACTCATTTATTGACTCATTCATCGACTTGTGCTTTTCTTTTTTCATAGCAACATACTTTATTTAACAAGGTAATATTACCTTGATAGCTGTTATATAAGCATTTTTTTTTCAATAAGGTCGTTTGATGAGGGCTTGGCTTTCACAAGATCAACGCTTAATGCTTCAAACGGGTTCCTGGCTTCAACAGGTTTACTTGCAGATGATCGTCGTTCGAAAATCATGGGTCTCGAGGCATTGCAGTACAACAGTCTTTTGCGTAACGATTCGCATAATTCTTTATTTCTAAGAGTACGAGGTTTTGCCAGTAACAGTATAATCAAGAACAAGGCTTACAACGAATTTTTCGACTAAATGCACCAAAAGTTTTTTGAAATCTAAAAAAATTTTAAACAAAGGTTAGTTAATTTTCTATAGACAATAGAAATAGGTTAGTGTGGTGGCTACTTGGGCCTCTTTTTGCTTTTGTAAAAGTAACAAAGAGTGGGGTCTGATCGTAGGGTCTTATATCCTTCCGCAACATAACCTTCGTCGTCCGCTCTGCGGAGAGATGAAGTGTTGCGCCGCTTCAAGTAGCCTAAATAAATATGAATTATCATCCGATAAAGGCACAGATTCTGGAGATGGATCTGTTATAGATGTGTTTGTATTTAGCCACCCTGACCCGATTTAACTATCTGAGACATTACTCATTTTTTTTTGTAAATTTTATAGTTACAATTTAAAGTTCTATATCCTAATATAATAGGCCTAGGTCGAGGTGAGAGTTGGTCTTGTTACGAATTAGAATTTTCTTTCAATCGTTACTGCGGCATTTACGATATTTGCAGTTAGACTGTTAAGTATTTTCTTTTAAGCCTTTATTTATTTTTATTATTTTTTTTTATATCGAATGATACATAAAAAAAAATATTAGTAAAAGAAAAAAAAAAGAAATAGTACCGTTGATATTAAGAAGAACGACCAAAACACAAAGAGAAGACACCAACAAATGACACCAACAAATGACACCAGTACCAATCGCGAATGATACACAAAAAAAAATTAGTAAAAAGAAAAAATAAATAAAAAAAAAAAAAAAAAAGAACAATACTATTACCGTGCTTCCTTCTATTAAATATTTATTCTTTTTTTAGTCAATGTGCTTTCCACGAATCGATTGAAAGTTTCACGATCTATAACATATGAATTTGTAGAAAGGTGGTTAGTTTACGACTTTAATAGTGATGCTCTTAAATTTGATCTACTTACCAATATAATATTTTCAGATCTTTAAAAGATTTGCTTCGGAACTTTGAAAAGACATCAAATGAATGCTGCACAGAAAAACCTTTTACGTAAAATTTTATTTGTTAATCACATTGCCGATCTTGCTCACTGATATATGATCACAATCAAGAACAGCATAGTGATTAACAAATAAAATTTTACAAGTTTTTTTTGTGCAGCACTCAAATATGGATGAAAAGATGGCAAGTTAATAGATGTTTTTAAATTTGATATTTATTCAAAAATTA